GAGCGGTACCTACCCCTGGGACTCAGATTTGCATGGAGCTGGGATGTGCAGCTGTATTCAGCATCTCTAAAGCACATTTGTACTGAGGTACGTGCTAATTAATTAAGCAAACTTTTATGAAGTTAATCCTGAGAAATTAGTACTTGGTTTGATGATCAGAGCATTGATCTGTGCCAACAGCAGGAAATACACCAGTTCCTTGGATCCAGGAGGAATTAATGCCTTCAACCACAATTTCTCCCTTTATGACAGTGCCCTGGAATGAGCGTATAGGAGCCTTCCTCCACCCCACTACCTTCTAGTCATTAGAAAAGCCCATATTTTGGGACATCTTTAATTTGCATGACTGCTGAGAAACAAAGTTCTACGCTCAAACATCTCGCATCAAAAAGGGCAAATATATAAGGATAAATAGCCTCATTTTGTCCAGTAGGACCTTACACAACTTGGAGGGTTACTGAATAACTCAGTTATTGACATGGTGTAGATATGAGCTGGCACAGGGGCTGAGATTCCTGTCTTTCTGTTTACTCTTACAACAATTCAGCATCTCCCATATTAGAAATAAATAAATTAGTGACTGAAAATACTACTGCATTTATTCCCTATTCCCACAGGCATTCCCCCACAAAAGTCTGTGAGGATATACAGCAGGAACACACAGAGCAGTGCCAGCAGCAATGCACTCATGCCAGACAGAAATTTAAGAGACAAAAAAGAGGGGGGAAAGTCAATATATGAACAAAAGCAAGTAAATCAGGCAATAGGAGTAAAGCAGGAATTGCAACTTCCTGTTCTCTCACAGGGAGAGAGATTGTCTGTCTTGCTTTCTGAGGAAAGCAAAGCTGAGAGATTCTCCCTGGCAGCAGCTGTCCATCACTAGGCGTAAAAACCTGTGATGAGATCAAGAGCCCTTTGGCCAATGGACATCAGAGTGAGCACATAACTGCCCCTAAAACCTAGACCTCCTGGCGATCTATAAGCAACGAGATTAGACAGGTGGGTAGACCAACAGGACATGTCCCCAGATGTCATGAAATAATTTATTGCTGCAGCACACGCTATACCACCTGAGGATCTGACCGGCCATAGCTCCAAAACATGGGGTGGGAGTTGCTGCTTGGCGTGTATGCCAGCGAATGTGGGATTTAATCTCTCCAGACTGAGCAGACGTGATGCATGGTCTGCTCCCTTGAGCACGCCATGCCTCAGGCTCCTCAAATGACCTCTTGCTTTATGAGGCTGAGAAGCAATGGTGATAGCCATAGATGTCTTCCACATAAGAAAACTTTTATTGCAAAACATGCTGCCAGGAAATAAATTTTTGAGATCTAGG